ACACACACACACACACACACACACACACACACACACACACACATACACACATAAAACACATGAATGTCATAAAAAGGTTCAACAGTATTTTAAAAACAATTTAAAATAAAAACATTCCTTAAAATGCAATGTAGTTTATTTTTCCTGGAATACTTCATTAAATTTTTTAAGACAAAGCTAATTGAAAGGGGCGCTGATCAGAGTTACAACCAGGGATTACAATTACTTTTTTTCATCTGCAGTTTGGCTCCCCCTCCAGCAGATGGCGCTCTAGGCGACCGCCTAGTTCGCCTATGCCAAGAGCCGGCTCTGACACAAATACTGAGCTAAAACTTGATATGGTGGAAGATGAGAGTTCTTCACAACACATGCTCTGAATGTGAACTCTTGCAATAATGCATGAGATTGGCCACAATGTTATCAAGGTTTGGCCAAACTGGCCACAAACTCTTGGTTTTATCTGCCTGAATAAGAGCGATGAGAACCTTATATTCATAATATACACCTTTTATCTCCCATAGCAAACTAAGCCAACTCATTATTTTAGTTCCATTATTATGATAAAGCTTGCCAAGTTTAGCTGATTCATCATCACTTTCTCCTATAAGCTGTTAAAAGCCTGGTATGGTGAAACACAAATGTCGTCACAAAACCACTGCTTGTTATTTTTGTTGATACAGAGCTGTGTATCTTGAAAACCTGCTGCAGGGACTTTATGAGGCTTTATATTGTTTCTTTCACTTGATGTTATTGTCTTAATTTAACAACTGGGGAAACAGTGTTTCATATTTTAATGTACATTGTACATATACAAATAACAAGTAAAGCTATCTTAACACAACGAACATGAAAAAATGAGTTCCACAGATAAAAAAAACTGATGACACAAGTATTAATTACAWAATCTGTGATTTCTTTGTGACCTGTGGAGCTGAAATTGATTACAGTTACAGATTACAGTTTTACTTCTTACTTTAGTAGCACATCTGTGTCTCCTGTAATAAAATGTCAAYGTCAGAGCTGCTCAGACTGTGTGAGACAGTTTTGACACAATTAAAACGATGAGTGGCAGCATTTGTCACCTGGTACAGCCAACTAGTGAGAAWGAGTTGGTCTAAATGCAATTTAAAAAGGAACTTAAAGAATAATTTGATCCAAAACACTTATTAAATCAGTCATTTATACAAGTATTGAGCTATCATTTGGTTTGGTAATAGCCGCGAGTCATTCCTAATATGGATTCTGAGCAATATCTGATATCTGTAAAACTTTGGAATCAACCATTTTTGTCTTTTAGCAAAATATCTCATGAACCACAGGGTGGGTTTTAATGAAACTTTCCGAATGTTTACAACTCCTTACCTTTGTGAATCAACCCCATTCAAGATGGCTACCACAACTAATCATCCTTGGAGAATGCCTGAATGTCTGTAACTCAATTCGTTTTACAGATGTTGCGCTATAATGTGGTGTGGTAGTTGCTGAGAGTCATCYTTAACATTTACTCCAGGCTCTAGCACATCCTGCAAGATAAAAATTTGACCAAACAGCTGTAAACTCCTTCACTTCTAGTCATAAGATGATCTTATATTTCAACTTTGGCATGAAAGGTGGCTGTCAGAGAATATTCATATCTAGAAACCACTTTTTTTGCGTTTCCCAATTGCATTCGGAAGTTGATGCTGTGAACCCAGAACATGCAGACAGATAAATTCTCAGAGCTAACATAAAGTAATCATAAATGATAAAATCTACTAGAAACAGATGGATGTCAGGAACATATAAAAATTACCCAATGAACAATTTCAGTATATATAAAAAAGAAAACAGTTGTGCCTTCAACATAGTGGACCACCAGGAGAACTGGGTGGGCGGTCAGTGTGCCACTCTAGAGTGGTTTAGATCCTACTTAACCAGAACAAACTTAGTGTTTGAGCCTCTGAATCCTGCAGTGCCTCTTACATATAGAGTGCCTCAGGGCTCTATAATTGGTCCACGTCTTTTCTCTGTTTTCTCTCTGTCCTCTCTTCCTATTTTCCTGAAACATGGAATTGCTTTTTATTTTTATGCCAATGTCAATTTATACAATTTATTTACAAGTTAAATCATAACAGGAAAGTCAGTGCTCTGTGAGCCAACTCTGGGAATGCATTGCAGAAATAATGGACTTCATGGAACTTTTTGAATTTTAATAAACATAAAAACAGAGGTATTGTTGTTTGGGGAAAGTGGAGCTTCTTAAGTTGGCTGTGAGTCCTTTAACACAATATTTGACTCAAACAGCAAGAAACCAGGGTGTGAATCTGGACACTGGTCAAGTTCAGCTTTCATTGGTTGAGACAGCAGACAATGGTCAGACCATTTCTTTCCTGACGGCATCACTTTGACATTTTAATTCATACTTCAATTTCGACTCATTTTGATAACTGTAATGTACTTTATCTTGGGTTCAGTCAGTCATATTTATTCATGTATAATACGATCTCAAGTATAATACGATCATCATTATTTGAGCTAAAAAGGATTAAAAATCTAATTATCAATAACCTGTGTATAATACTACTCCTCCACTTTATGGATGATTTTTAGGATTATTTATGGATTTTTTTTTTTATCAGGTGCCAGAAATCGAGAGAACATTACCTCTGTCTGTTTTAGCTTCATTACATTGGCTTCCATGTCCTTTCCAGATTGATTTTAAAGTTCCTTTGTTTGTTTTTAAATGTCTCCACGGTCTTGCTTTACAGTRTCTGTCCAAGCTGCTCTAGCTGTGTGCTCCCTCATGCTATGTCAGGTCAGCAGATCATTCACTGTGGGTGGTCCTAAAGTCAAAAAGGAGGTTGAGAGGTGATCTGGCTTTTTCAGTCGCTGCTTCCAAACTGTGCAAGGGCAATAAGCTATTTTATTGCATTGTTTTAAAAAGCTTGAATTACAGTCCCAGTTCATTTAGGGATATCTGATTCATAAATCCAGGATTGAATGATTTAAGATTTAAAAATAAAACAAGAAAACCCCTTCGGATTAAATTAAAATCAACCTTCTAACAGAATTACTGGAAGAAACCTCTTTGGAAACCAGTTTACCAATTAACCTAACATGAATGATTTTGGTCTGTGGGAGGCAACTAAAGTTTCTGTTAAAAACCCATGTGTGCACAGATAGAACATGCWAACTCCACATAAAAAGGCCCCAGACTGTGAGGCAATCCTGCAACCTTCTCACTGAGAGGCAACAGCTCCAACCACTGCACTGATTCTATTGTTATAACTTATTAAAAGCAGCCTTTAGAAAACCACGCTCATGTTACATTTTGCCCTGCAGGTTTTGACGGYGGTAACAGAGACGCATTATGACATTACCTGAGGACAGAGAGGAGGCTGCTGGGAAAAACTGACTGGATCACAGAGACCTGGAGCGAGACAAGCTTTTAAAACTGTGTGGACTCAAATCAAAAAAATTCAACAGGAATCTTCTTTTTCTTAATTTTTTTCTTTTTTTGTTTTGTTTTGTTTTGTTTTAATGTATTTGCTGAAAATGCATGTACTGTATACTTTTATTTTTGAAAATGCTTGCACTAATTATGGTTTTCTCTTGCACAAAGGGAAGCTCTACGTTTCTTTAAAACACTCACAGGTAGTTTTGTTATTCTGCTCTGCTTCTTATGAATCGCCGTTTTACACATTTGTGAAAATCAGTTAAAGTTTAAATGTCTTTTCATTCCCTCCCCATCTTTACTGACAATCTGTGACTACTTAAAGTGAGTTTGTATTTATTCTAACGAAATGTAGAATACGACTATAAAACTGCACTAACCATCGTGGTAAAGGCTACTAGTTAACAATCATGTTTTAATTTGTGATAATGTATTATTTGATATCTGTGATATTGTGAGTATGCTTTTGGTGTGCGATTGAGAATCTTGTTTCCATGGACTCAGCTCTTCCATTTCTTCAAGAGTGTTTAAATCAGTCAGTGGGTTGTTTTAATCTGGTTTTTAGAACCTGAAAATAAGTATATTTTCTCAAGATGCTTCTACGAATCAGAATAAATAAAATGAACTGAACAGAAGGAAGTGGGCTGTTGATGGCTGCATTTGTTAAACATATTTCTATGTTTTAACCTTTGGAGAGTTTCAAAATAAAATGAATGTAAATAAAATGGAACTTGTTAACATAGGAAAATTATGAACCGGTACGGAACCACAAGTGTCAGAAAAATAAAGAAACAATTGCACAAGTAAAATAATTTAAAAAAAGATTCTGGATTAGCTTAGCATTGGATGAAATCATACATCACAAATGTTTTCCTGAACTATRTCAAATGGTGCAGTTTCARTGAGTTTACTCTTTCAAATATACTGTTTGGAAATATAGGTACACACTTAAAGCCTGATTCGCTCAAGGTTTGCATGTAAGAAAACAYGCAAACTTGATGGCACGTGCAGAGCTGATCTACTGACTGCGTGTATTGAGGACGGCATCTATTAAAAGTGTTAAATAGCAAACAATCCATTTAGTGTTTGCCTTCATGAATATGCAGATTATGATGATTATCAGAACGTACAAAATGCAGGGAGGAGGATATACAGATATGGCTATTTAGAACCCACAATGGGATTTATCAAACCTGAAACTGATTGTGGTTGCTCTTCTTGCGTCTAGATTTAGCATGTTTGTAGAGCAGGTGCAAACTGACACTGAGTTATGAAAATGTCTGCGSTCATTGAAGCCTATGGAGAGAGAGWGTGTGTTCTGTGTACGTGTCAACATATTTTGACTGTTAAAATAAAAAAAAATAGTAGAAACATTGTATATCCAGCAATGCTGTGTTTTGAGCTGCTGGACAGCCTCATCATACACTGCATTTTTTWGCATCTTCTCCAAGAAGACCTCCAACTCTGGAGTTTCGAACTTTACTTTTCTTTTATGGCCACTCGGCTCTCCCAAACCCTCAATAGTGACAGCTAGTATTACAAAAAAAAAATCATTTCAATAGGGTGGTTCAAACCACTTTTGCTCCTTTTATTTATTTTTTTACCGTGTCCCGTCCGGCAGTGTGGAACTCAGAATTGTTGTCTGAGTGCCAAAGTCCCATTCTTTTCTGTCTCCGTCCATTACGTTGAAATAATCCCAAAGGAATTTCTAATAAAGTATATATCAAGTGGAGCATCATGGTGAAAGCCGTGATGCCCCRCTTGTGAAAATAAATCTGTTAGGCCTCACCACTTTTGCACCTGTTATCAATTGYGCACACAATTTTAGCAAATCATCAGCAGCGTGTGCAACTTTTTAGTTTTCATATGCCATTTTAGGGCTTGGTATTTGGGTATCTGGGCCGGTAATGTAAAAAAAGTACGCATCTGAATCTGCCAGAAATTACATGGAAGCTTAGGTTGGCTGTAGTCAGTGTCCATAAATCGGGTGAAATTGAACGAATGTTTATGATTATGAAATAATTTGTYGTTTAATTAATAGAACACCTTCAATGCACGAATAAGAATTTATTACAATGGATATTTACAAACCAAGGAATAAATTTATGAGTATGATGGTTCTGGTGGATTATGGTTATAAAAGTAAGTGATGAAATTTTGCAAGGTCTAAAATAAAGGTTTATATTTCAGATTACCGTGGATTTTATTAGTCTGTAGTATATAAATAAACTTGTAGGCCTTGGCTGTGTTGAAGCAGAGAGAACACC